TGAGCTTTGGAAAATACATAAGATTTGCAGGGAGCTGACCAAGGAGCAAATAATTCAGTTGTGATGTGAAGTAGTGCAGACATAAAAAAATTGCTTTCATTGGGGTAAGTAGGTTTGGGTGGGAAAATGGTTCAGGTTTTCAATTTGATGCAGGTTGTTGGCAGTGTTTTGGAGTTATTCTTGAATTGCCTTTGACACGAGAGAAAAGACATCAGTGTGAGAGACGAATATTGTATTTACAAGTAAGCAAAGAAGTAAGTCATAATTTTAAAATTACTTTGTTTTATGATAATTGGTTGCTTATGATGTAAGAAACTGCACTTCATATGGTAAGATTTTAAGTGCAGAAATTGCTGTGCAGATTTTCAGAACATTAATGGTGGCAGTGTAAATGTAGAGAGCCAAACAAAAAGTAATGTTAAATTTGTAGTTCTTCATTAGACCTCAGTTGGAGTATTGTGCTTTAAGTACTTCAGTTTTAGGAAGGATATAAAATGATGGAAAAGCTTGCGCGGATTCATTAGGCTTGGGATGAGTCCACTGTTATGGGTACAATTATACAGAGACCTGAGGAATCAGAAATTTTCTTTTACTAGATCAGCACTCCCTCTAAATCTAACAGGCCCACCAATGAGAAATGAAAATTAGACCTGACAGAAGGAAAGATTAATAACAAGACAGAAAAGGAAAGTAAGACTGAGTTATTTCAAAGTGCCCTTCTCACCAAGGATTCCATCATTTGACACACAGACAGGATACTGTACATGAATCAATAATTTTCATCAGTGGTTGGGTATTTTCCAACTCATGACATATAGGACCCAGTAAATAAGTTCACAAGAGGTGACTGTCATGGGATTGATGTTCCACATACATACAAAAGTTTGTTTTGCAAGGCAACTGCAGTCAATTTGACCCTTGTGTGGAAGTATTCCAGTTAGATTTCCACTTCTCTTTGTATTAGAACCATCAAATCTTTTCTTTTTCTCAAATTTAAAACAAAAATAATTGAGTGTGCCTTGAGTGAAGATATGTGTGTGGATCATCCATGTGGGCAAGATATTGGCCAGAAACTGGCTGTTTTGGATCTACCTCTCCTATTACTATTCTTGCTTTCAGCTGGCTGGGTGTTCGTCAACAGTCCCAATGGATTCGGCCACTCGCTCACCAATGGATCCATCAAAGCTGTTGAAATACTCATCCAAATCTATGAACCCCAGCGTTGAATTCATTCAATCATTCACAACTTCCCTCCTCCTGTACTAACCTGTACTTATTCCAGTCACCTATCATATTTGCACTCACTAACCTTCACTGGCTCCTCGTGCCGAGCATGTCATTTACAAATCCTTGACCTCACCTGCAAATTTCTCTAAAGGCCTCAACTCCGTCCCATCTTTGAACCATTCTCCAGTCTAATATCCTCGCTTTGTACCCTCTTCACTGTCCAGTTGTGCATTTTTCTTCTCTCCTTCCATTCCATCACTGGTACCAGAGATTGCAGTGCCTTAGCTATTGCACTCAAGAATTCTGTTCATACCTTTCCACCTGGCTAAATGCTTTTCTTTCAAAAGTCTACTTAAAAGCTATCATCACATGTCTAATATTCTCTTGTTCAATGAGTCTGGCCCTCATTTATGAAATTCCACAGCACTAAATGTGAAGTAGTGTAGACATAGCTGGTGTCATGAACAGACTACATTCTTAAACCAATAAGATCATCACAGCACTAAACTGTCATCATTAGACATATCACCATGGAGGTTGACTAATTCCAAAAGACCTAATTTGTCCCAAGGATTGTTACTACCTTGACATTGCTTCAGCAATGAATCCGACCTTGGTAACTCATCAAATAGGAGATTGTGGGGACAAGCTCAAATTTTTACCAATACGTAGCTTCGACTAGCACCAACAAGAAAAGCAACTGCATCTGCTATCTGTGCATTAAAGTATCAAGTGACGACACAACATACATGGCACCTTTCAACACACTGGAATCTCCCCAGGCACTTTAAAGGAGCATTTTATAAAACAAAATATGACACCAAGCCACAAAAGGCAATACAGGGTCAGGCTTGGTCAAAGACGTAGGCTGTAAGGGATGTCTTAAAGGAGGAAAGTGAGGTGGAAAGGTATGGGGAGGGTATTCTGGAGTTTGGCATTGGAACATTCTAAAGGTATTTTTTAAAATTAAACTTTGCAGGGATATCAAATTCTTTTTAGCAATTGCCATAGGTAACATTGATTTAGAACAGATTTTTTTTGCGTATACTATAGATAAAGTTTTGTTGATTTTAACTGAATTTTTTTATAACTGAATTCCTCTTATCTGTTACTGCATCATTCAACAGAGCAAAGGATTATTCCAATCTGAAATTGTTACTGAAGTCTCAGAAATTTAAAATATGACTTGTACTGCTTTTTGGCAATCTTTCAGCCAACAAACGGCAAGTTGAGAGTTAAGGCATTTAAACAGTCTACAATTATTGAAGAGCTTTGAGAAATATGCAGAATGGAGACTGACTGACACAATGGTACAGCAATACTGAATATTGTTTAGCAGCAATATGCAGTGACCGAGCAGCTGAACTTAACCAAATACATAAGAACAGTGCTATCCCTAAGAGTCTCAAAGAATAGCAGCAATAACAAAAAGGGAAGAAAGGATCATTTACTCATTTACATATAATTTTAATTGGAAATACTGTTCAGTTTTCAGCATTTTTTAAAGGAAACTTTTTTGCCTATTCATTTGGGTTTGATCAATATAAAACTTCACAATTTGACTTGTACTAATTTATCCTGTTAAAATTCAAGATTCAAAGTAATCATTGTGTTTATTCAGTTTCTTGATAAATCAATTCAACAATCTTTATTCATGTGTCCTGCAGGAATCCTGCATTTCAGTTTGGAACTTCTTTACCAGTGCTAAATGAACAGTTCTGATGAAATTATAAAATGTTGTTTTATCTTCCAGATATCTCAAGACAATAAGATGAACAAAAAATCCTTACTACAGCTTATTTTAATAATAGCAATGGATTAAATAAAAATGTTCTGTGCAGAAAAAGCAATGCCTTAGAGCAGGTTTGTAAAGACAGGATTTGTCACGCAAATCATTTAATTATGGTTTGTTCAGCATTTTATTATTTTTTCTGCGTCACATAGGAGCGAGACAGCAAAGTCACTAGCTTTTGTGATTACAACTAAAGATTTAGGGAAGTGACATTTCACATTCATTTTGCTACAATGCTGTTTTTCTGAAATGAAATAGGGCACTGTGCAAACGTTACTGAGTATTTAAATTATTAAATGACTTCATAGGTAAGATCATTTAGCAAACACGAGTTTCTGTGGTGCTGACTACTTGTGCAACTAGCAATATGTAGCTAGCTTTCTTTGAAAATACTCTGAGTTCAACCTATAAATTGTTTGGCCATTGTAAAACAGAAAAGAGAAATAAGTTCAGCAATACCATGTAATAATATCATATTAGCTGGCATATATCTGACTGTGCTCTTCTGGTCTCTTAACATCCTATTCAATTATTTTTAACAGCTACTTAATTTTACACAAATCTGAAATATACAACTCCACATTTTCAAAACAAATTTTCTCTGGGTGCAATCGTGTACAGGTCTGAGTGACATAGGCTACTGCTAAATTTGAGGCAGAATCTGGTGAGCAGTCCAGTGAGGCCAATCTCAATGTCGAGAGCATCTTGATGCATCTTTTATGCTTTTCACAAGTGATGTGGCAAGTTTCTTGTTAGGTAGCAACAAGAGTCCTGATTAAAGAGGATTATTGCTTGTTAAATTCCTTGAAGACAGCCCAAATCACCTTATTAATATTCATCTTTCTCCCTTTCAAACTCACCAAACAAGCTCGATGTCGGAATCCAGAGCTGGCTAACTCAGCTCGTTGATGTGCACTGGCCATACACCATGCCCTCGGACGTTGGCATCTGGTGTCCCAAACCACATACAGGATACTTCTCTTCCAGTATGCATACACCCTGGTGTATAGGTGGGGACTATACTCAGTTTGAGCCTCCCTGGATGCTCTCCGTATCCCTTCCCATGAATGTCTTGCCTTGCTGTTTAGCACAGAATAAAAGTAGGAAGCTCATCAGGGTTAGCTGTGTCGAGCGTTGAGCTGTGTGACAACAAGTGCGGGAAGATGTTGCAAGCATTAATGAGAATGGTACAGCATGATCCTTGGAATGCAGGTATAATAGCAGAGATAAAGTGAGTTTGAAGTATCGGAGAGAAGATAGTGGAACATATGCTGGCGGAGTGGAGAAGGTCATTGACCTTTCTGCATTCGTCCAGGTGACAACATCAGACGAGGCTGGCATGGTATGGTGTCACTGCTGGACCTCCACGTCCCCACCCACACTGCAGGGTTTTGGGTACCTCCACCTTGTCTACCATGTCCGGGACAGACATCCAGATCCACGCAGGGCTGTTCTGGACTGACGGTGCTTTGTCTCAGTGCAAGCTGGGCTTTTAGATATGACATAGTCATAGGGGATGCCACTGAATTCTGGGATCTCTGCTGAGGAGCAAGTTGTTTTGGAAATGGCCTGTGGCAAGATAGGCTGGGAATTGGACATGAGGGATGCTTTAGGAGCACTTGGCTAGGTAGTTAATGAGGTAAATTTAGTGAGATAAGGCAAGAAAACCTGCTTGACATCATGGCAGAAATCCGTCCAAAAAACTCAACACAACTTAGGACTGAATTTTACTACTTTTGGCTATGTTTCATAATGGAAATTAACAAGCAACTTTATTACTGAAATAATAGTCCATGTTCCCACTATATAAATAATAAATGTTTTGTGGTAATAATGGAATTTTCACAACAATCATAAAGCTGCAATTCTGTTTAGAAACAATGCATCCAAAGACAACTTTACAGAATACGTACATACTTCAACTAGTTTGTTGACACTTCATAGATAGCCTGCCCATTTTAAACAAACTAACAATGTCATGAGACCCTACAGTGATGGTGGCTGAGGGTGAAAAGAGGCTGATTGAAGAGATTGATCCTGCTTCTCTTGGCTCCAAATGCAATTAATTTTACCAATTTTTCTAGAAAGGATTACTGCTACTCAAATCCTGAGGAGCCCTGGCTAAGTTAGGCACTGAATATCAGCCAGATATCCACTTCCACAGAGAGATTCAAAGGAGGTAAGCCTCATGTGTGAGAAGTTTTATTTTAAGTTTAGAATTCCATTTTTGTGGACAACAAAGAACCTCTTTGAATTTGTAGAAACTGGTGATAGTTGAAGACACTGTCTCCGTGCAAGTATAAATTGTCTAGACCATTACTGTTATCATTTAAAATTAGCTTTGTGTAGTTTTAATCTTCTGAAAGATTATGGTGGAGGTAGGATGCAATGGTGTTTAAGGTTAAAAAGGGAGATTGTAACTCAGTTGAGAAACATAGAGTTGCGGAGGGGAAAGGAGTGGATTGGGGATTAGAAAGGTTACTCGCCTTGCAAATGAGTTCAGCAACTTTTCCATAACCTCCAGAGTTTGGGTTGTCCCATGATACTCAATTCCTCTAAAGTACAAGCTCTGTTATAAAATTTATTAAATTTTAATCCTTGACACAGAGACAATGGGGAGAATTGTAACTTAGCCTACCCCACAACCTATCCATTCTTGTAAGTAGTTTAAATTAATTATGTTAAACTAAAAACATCCAGATGTCAACACATTCACTTTTGTGTTTGGGTACTTGTGAACTCACCACTCACCAAAGTCACAACATTATTTGGTGCAATGGATTGGAATTTATTGCAGCAATTAATAGCCGTGGATATTTACTTGCCTTTAAATTGATTTTCTGGATTTGGGAACCTCAGCCAGGACAGCAGCTCAGTGCATTTCATACCAGTACATGCCTTCCTGTATAACAACTGCCAGTATTTTAATGCACCTGCTGGCAGGAAAGACGGTAAGAAAAAAAATAAGTGAATGATTGGGGTAATTAGCTGCGAGCTCATCTCTCTGCCAGTATTAACCAACTTATAGAGTACCAGACAAAGGCAAGCAATTGCTTACAGCCATGAATCAAGTAGACACCACGTAATTTAATCCAAGGAAGGACTGAATAGGTATTTGCCTGCAATGAAAGGGAAAAGGCATTTCCCCAATAGGAGACACTTAGTTGAGATATGACATAAATGAGAGAGGAACCAAATGGAGGCCTACAACCAGTAGGTTTGAATGGTGTACCAGCTCTTCAGTATAGAAAGAGACTATCTTGTCTGGAAGAAGGGTAATTTCTGAGGGACTGAAATGTAAAGTCTAGGCTCATGTCCCTTCTGGCAATTAGTTTAGATGATGCATTAAGACCAGTACAACATCCCTGCTCTTAGGTGTGAAAATGTTTTACAGTGGGACTAGAAGAGAATTCCATGTTACAAAAATTAAAATGTGGAGGGGAATAACTAGTAAATAAAAACATTGATTATTTATTATTAGCCGTTTAAAATCATAGAATCCCTACAATGTGGAAATAGGCCCTTCGGCCCAACAAGTCCACACTGATCCTTGGAGCATCCCACACAGAGCCATCCTCCTATAACCCACCTAAGCTACACATCTCCGAACACTATGGGCAATTTAGCATGGCCAATCCACCTAGCCTGCACATCTTTGGACTGTGAGAGGAAACCGGAGCACCTGGAGGAAACCCACGCAGACATGGAGAGAATGTGCAAACTCCACACAGACAGTCGCCCAAAGGTGGAATCGAACCTGGGTCCCTGGCGCTGTGAGGCAGCAGTGCTAACCACTGAGCCACCATGTCGCCAAGCTTAGCTTAATATTAATCCTAGATATAAAGTACTGCTCCAAAATATGGTATCTGAAATAGGAATATGTTTAAGAATTACTCTCCACTAATTGATACTTTGCTGAACATGAATTATTTGATAAAACCATGAACACAAACATTAACTGCAGAAATGTCTCATAGTCAAGCCTGTTGCTGCTAATTGTCAGCAAAACTATTAACAGATTTGATAAAATTAAAGTATTTAGCAGGCTCTTCATCTAACATATTCAATATGAAATTTGCAGAAGTATCATAATTATGAATAATAACTATGCCGTTCTCTCATTAGTCAGGGCTTCCGCAAACAAAAGGCTATTTTAACCCAGCCCTTACTTTGCTATTCTAGTACTTACACAGAATTGATCCTTCTGTTTTTCTCCTATCCTTTAAGAAATAATTATCATAAAAATTGTAACTTTCATAATTACATTTTAGAATGTTTTACTTGCCAAGTGATATCTATTTCTTTAAACAGTATTAATGACTGAATGAGATGCGTGACCAAGAGTCAAGTCACTATAGTCTTACCAGGCCATAGAGCTGCTCTCTCATTAGAGAGTGACAACTAGTTATGATTTAACCTGAGGGCCACCATGAGGAGAATCATTCATGGTAACTTCAGCTGTGATGGGAATTGAACCAATGCTGTTGGTATCACGCTGCCTCACAAACCAACAGGCCAACCAATTAAGCTAAACTGACCCCTGGACACTTGACCAGGAACTAAACTTCAAGCCATCCAAACATCACCTGCCTTTGTCTTCACCTCCTCTCCAGTTCCATGTTAACCTTCATCTATCACTCCAAATACTCCCTTGGCTGACTTTTTGAACTCTGCCACATTCAGAATTGTTCTGCTTACTCTCTATTCTGTGAAGAGTTCTGTTCATTAAACACTCACTGATACATCATCCTTCTGCACTAATCTCTTAGTGACCTTGGCCATACGCTACCAGCCCAACCATATCCAGCTTTCTGTCACAATCTGTATCCTCCATCTCTTTCAATTCAAATTATTGCATAACAATCATCTTTCATTTTCACAACCATCCATATCTCTATCTTAATTTCTTTCCAAACCAATCTGCTTTTCTTTGATTTTCTCCATCTTCAATACACCCCTCAAAATTCTTTCCTTTTTGTATTATTAATAATATGAGAAGAATGTGCAGTGCTGTAAGCTGGTGTTACTTGAAAACTACATGATAATGCAAAGTGTGACCTTTACTGTGGTAATTGAATTATATGTTTAGAGTTGGAGCACTGTCCCTACTTTGTAGCTTGCTTTACTGTTATGCATTCCTTGAGTCATTTGATCGCAATGACATCAGGCTCAACATTTTAAAAACAATTTGCTTCTCACATTAATTCCAGTTTTTTTTTAAACATGCCTGAACAGGAACAACAACTATCCCATTTTTAAAAAGGTAAGTGACGACAATTTTTTTTAAAAATTACATAACAGGGCAGTCAGCATTTCATAAACTGGCTAATATTTTGGGAGGTACTCCTTCCGAACATGTGATAGAATGTGCCCTGATGCCTAATATAAATAGGGGTAGTACCATAACTTTCTCTGTTTAATATATTAGCAAACCCACACCATCATTTGTTGGCATCTGCTACCCTTTCCAGTATAAAAGGCGTAAGTCCTAAGGTATTCTGATGTCTGATCATTTCCTGTATGGATGGAAGATCCTTCATCTGTGTCAGATGTTTGGTTGTGCCCATTCAGGGCTTTTTTTCATTACTTTAATGCCATAATTTGATAAATCCCACTCTACAGGTTAATCATTTATTCTGAAACACAATCATCATTAAATGTTATCAATAAGTCATAGGTCCATAGCTTTTAGAATTAAAATATATTTATTCTATTTGGAAACAAAATACAAAAATGATGGATGAAATACTCCACAAAATACAGCTCTTTTTCTGATCATTTAAGGTATGTTTTGCTAACTGGAATTTAAATTGTTTTAAATTGACCACCATAAATTGGTTGCAGTGATCTCTGATTCTGAAACTTCTAGAGACCCAGGTACAAAGACTTTGAAAATTTACTCTATAGCATTAAAATCCACAGGAACCAGAATCACAAAAGACAGTCATAAACTTCTCCGTAAACATTTAAAATATCATTAGAGTCATAGAGATATACAGCACAGAAACAGACCTCTCAGTCCACATTGTCCACGCCGACCAGATATCCTAAATTAATCTAGTCCTATTTCCCAGCATTTGGCATATATCCCTCTAAATCCTTCCTATTCTCGTACCCATCCAGATGCCTTTTAAATGTTATAATTGTACCAGCCTCCTCCACCTCTGTATGAAAATGGTGCCCTCTAGTTTTGGACGACTCTACTCTGGGAAAAAGACCTTGACTATTCACCCTATCCATGCCCTTCATGACTTTGTAAACCTGTATAAGGTCACACCTCAGCCTCCGACACTCCAGGGAAAATATACCCAGCCTATTCAGCCTCTCCCTATAGCTCAAACCCTCCAACCCCAGCAACATCCTTGTAAATCTTTTCTGCATCCTTTCAAGTTTACAAACATCCTTCCTATTGCAGGGAGACCAGAATTGCACACAATATTCCAAAAGTGGCCTAACCAATGTCCTGTACAGCCGCAACATGACATTCCAACTCCATGAACCTGCATTTCAAGGTCTCTTTATTCGTCAACACACCCTAGAACGCTACCCTTGACTGTACAAATCGTGCCCTTATTTGCTTTACCAAAATGCAACATCTCACATTTACCTAAATTAAACTCTATCTGCCTCTCCTCGGCCCATCGGATCAAAGTCCCGTTGTACTCTGAAATAACCTTCATCATTGTCCACTACACCGCCAACTTAATAACCATTCCTCCTATATTCACATCCAAATCATTTATATAAATGACAAAAAGCTGTGGACCCAGCATTGATCCTTGTGGCACATCGCTGGTGACAGGCGTCAACCATGTAATTTTATTATGGTACATTCGGATTCCAGCATGTTTATAAATACAACTAGTTCTGGTCTATTGATTCACAGCACCTTTTCATATTTAACTAAAGATAGTGTGGTCAGGTCTTTAACCAGTTATGTCAGCCTTGTGGGTTTCACAAATTGTGTCCTCTCTTCCTCCTTGAAGTGTGTACAGGGAAGGGCCAAGCTCAATAATCTTACCACTGCCGAGGCATTCTTGATCGTTATAGAGCACAGCAAACTGTAACCAACAATATATGAATGTCAAAATGTTACACGTTGATTGACCAGATATATTCTTAACTAAAGACATACACAGCATTCATCATTTTTTTCTTTGCAGATTGCAAAAGTGGAGTGAAATACACTATTTAGCAATCCAAATGCAAATAAGACTCTGGGATGTGTCTCAACATGGCAGCTTTGAGCCAAGCATCCATCAGAACTTTCAGAAGTTGCTATGGAATCCTTTTAGAATGTGTATATAAATTCCTCAGGAGTTAGAAGATTCACGTACTGACACAGAAGCTGTAATAATCTCCAGCATCCTGTAGCTCATTACCTCAAAGTTACACAACAGTGTAAGGCTGAATGTCAACAGTGGTTAATAATGATTATAAAATGGAATCAAACTTAATTTGTTATTACATCCTGATTCTTTGATTAGCAAGGGACCTGACAGTATGCCTTAGGCAAAGTGCTTTTAGCCTTAACACGCACAGTTTAACAGAACAGTACTAACGTTTAGTCAACTCAGTAACTTTAATCACGAAAAGCTACTCGTTACAGCATTGTTCACCAATCACTTTAATATAAGCAATTTAGGCAACCACAGACATTACACACCATAGTGATAAATGATAATTTGGATTGTGCAATTATATGGAATTATCAGCATATGAATGAGTTAACTTGCTTCCTCTCAAGTTACTTAAATTATTCAAACATTACAAAAAATCTTTTGCTTCATATTTTAATTGGATTTGTAACATTCTTTTCTCTTGCTGAAGCTGCTGCAACATTAGATAAGGGAGCTTTTTTCCCATCACTAAAATCCCCAGTAACCAGCGCTTTGAACAAACACATAAGAATGGGAGCAGGACATTCAGCCCCTCGAGTCTATTCTTCCATTTAGTCAGATCATACTTCATTGATATCGCAAATCTAATCATCTGGTTTGGTTCCATGTCTCTTAATAATTTTATTCAACAAAAAAATTGGAGTTTTCAATTTTTCAATGGAACTGTATTTAAAAAGTGTAACAAAGATTTCCACTAGCCTTTGCGTGAGAAAATGTTTCCTAACATCATCTCTGTCCAGCCTAACTCAAAATTTCATTATCTGGCCTCCTGTTCTTAACTCCAGAACTTGTGACTTCTAGTTGCTAATCCAATATTGTTATTACAAGAGTACCCACTGCAAAACTTTTTCATTTCATTTGGTTTGGGGTGTCCCAGCTATTGTTTTATGCTACAGAGGAGTGGCAAATGCTACTTTGATACTTAGCAAAGTAAACAGGATAGTTACACCCTTAGCCATTTTTCATTCCTTTTACCTAACATTCAATAAATTTATATTTGAAATGAAAGTGTGAAATGGAACTCACTTGTCCTGGAGTTGGTGCTCTGACTGGTTTAACAAGAGTCACCCAAACTGTAGAATCTGGATTTAGGGTTAACTGGCACTGCACTGAAAGGAAAAATAATACAATTTTTAAGAACAGTATAGACAATATAAAAACTTGAACTATTCTTATATTGAGTTGGTCTCATTTGGTGACAGTATATTGATCCTAAGGGAATCGAAGGATGTGGGAATCAGTTAGAAAAGGGGAGATGCTAGTGAATAAAAGGGGAAGTTCGAGGAACTTTATGGTCTACCTTTTTTATGCTTTTATGAACAAGTATTGGCAATAATTATTAGTGAAGTGAAACTATATATGAGACGAAAGGAAACGCATTTGTTAATGTGAAGATTGTTTCTCCCAGTCTTCCTTATTAGCAAGTGTCTTAGTGTGTAGTTTTGCTTCATTCATAAATGGATAGCACTGGCTTAGAATGATCATTGCCCCGCTAGGACTCTAACCTGTAAGGTCACCAAGAGAAACAATTTTGGGCAGTTGCAGGCAGTTTTTAACAATTAGTCTACAAAACAGAACAGTGCATCTTTCACCAGTAAGCTCACTCACTCATTTGAAACAGTTACAAGGACAATACGTTGGTAACCAGGTGGGCGTAAATGATTAACTCAGTTGGCTGGCTATCCGGTTTGTGATGCAGAGTGACACCAACAGTGTGGATTCAATTCCTGCATCATCTGAGCCTTGCTCTCTCATTCGAGAGAGACAGCTGGTGGTGAGTTTAACCTGAGAGTCATCACACCTCAGTTGACAGACAAGAAAATGGGAGATTTGTGGTAACCTCAGCCATTGTCCCAGAGGTCTCTAATGAGATTGCTCTTATTACAGGCCTCTGGGTCAATGCTGACAACTTTTTTTCCTCGAAACAGAATAATTAATTTTTTGATGCCTGGAGAAGCTTTGGAACCATTGGCCTGGAATTGCTTAATCTTTCTAGACATGTTCTCTCCTTTTGCAGTTGCTAGTTGAACAATAAACAACTCTGTTCAGTATTAATCACAGTAGTATCTTCTTGTCAGCTGTAACAGTTTGATGTACAGCCAGTTAGGAAATTGTTCAACAAATTCAGGTATTTTTGCTGATACTGGCATCACATAAAGAAGGTAAATGATTACACTAATATTAAAGTAATGCACACAAACACTCACATTTACTTCAGAAGATACTTACATAGTCACTTGTTTTTATGCACTGAAGCACCATCTATTCAATTTAGATGCATACACACTAAACCAACCATTTCTTACCAAGTGGCATCTGGTGCTGGAAGCGAAAGTGACACTGCATCAATTTGTGCCTGAGCAGTTCTAATGGTGCGTCCTGAGCAATCCAATGGACTTGATCAGTTTGCAGTGAATTCCTGTACAGAGCTGGGTGACTGGTTCCTGGTGCCTGGCAGACAACATATATGGTTTATCACAATGCATATTCCTACACTTGGGAAGACAGGCTCAAAAAGGGAAGCTATCCCGTGATAGGAAAACAAAATAGGTAGACGAAATTTGACTTTCCCTCAAAGGCAATATATCACAAAATATTTCAATGAATGTACCAACAATAATTGATGAAACTATTAGAATCCTGTGAAAAGGAAGTATTGTGATTTGAATGCATATTTTCATCAATACACACCCCCACCCAGAAAAATGGCGTTAAAAGTTAATGATTTTGGCGCAAGAAATACAAAGGTAGTTGCTGCAGTTAAGTCTTTGGGAGCTAAATTAATGCAATACCTCACTCTCAGATGACTAGAGACATGTGAAAACTTTGTCTAAGCATGTCAAAATTGTTGAAAAGCTTGGCATAAATCACTGTTTTGATTTGAATTGTCTGTCTTTCCGGCTCTGTTTTCAATGTGTCATATAAATTCTGCAACATGTTAGCAATTGACCTACTGCTATTATTAGGAAGGCATAATTGTACATTTTAGAAAATAGTACAAGTTTGCAGAATGATACTTGAATGAAAAGTCCTAGTACCTAGTGTGGTAGGGAGCAGGCGCTAAAGCAGAGATTGCAATAATCACCGGCACAAGGAAAAGAAGCTGGATCGCAGCAAACCACCGTGGGGGGGTGGAGGGTCAAGGAGGTGAGTGAGGCCCAAAAGTTCAGGCTCCTCTGGTTACAGAAACAGAAACAACATTAGAGTAAGAGGCACAGCAGAATTGGGAAGATAGTAGCAAAAGGAAAGGAAAAGAGACACGTTAAACACAACTGGGAGAAACACAAAATTACATAAGCCTCTTGTTGTAACATCTTGATTTCAGCGAGAACCTGAGGCTGTCATACTGAAGAAATTTATTTGCCTTCACACCTGATTCTCCTGCCTTTTCTATACTTGCCAGGTCTACTGGTTCCAATGTCATTCCTTTCTGGTCAGCTAATTGGAAAGATACTTAAATTATGAGAAGAGTTTTTTCTTTGGAAAACCGGAAGTTTCAATATCATCTAACTGAAGTTTTGAAAGTGATAAAGGGAATGATGAAGCTAGATCGTGCAAGTTGTTCGCTACAATTACTCAGCCTTCTGCAATTCTGTAACTATAGAAATTGCAGGACATTTTCTACATTAATCAACTTGAAACACTATCATTGAGAATCCACCTCAGCAGAGAGAAGTTATGTGAATTTAGTCCTAACAACTTCTTCAACAGCACTCCCACTTCCTGAATCCTTGTTCTCTACCATCTAGGAATAGTTTAACAGGTAAATGACACCATCACTCCTAGGTTTCCCTGCAACCATACACCACTGCAACTTGGAAATGTATTGTTACCCCTTCATCATTGCTGAGTCAAAATTCTGGAACTTTGCCACATGGACCACAGTCTTTCAAGCAGGCAGCTCAGCAACCAACCAGCCGAGGGGTGCTCGGCTGGGCAACAAATGCTAGTCTTGCTAGTGCCTTCCTTTATAAAACCATTCAGTTGAAAAATGAGGATAAATTTCATTAATGAGCAAAAAAAAGTAATCAATCAATCTGTGGATCAACAACAAGTGGAGATTCAGAAAACTCAAACATACTGAATCCTTTATTAATTTGAATTTAATATGAGTATACCAAAGCTTCATGGTGCTAAAAAGTCCAATTCACATGTTTCAGCATGGAATTTGTTTCTAACTTTTTCAGTGGGTTCCACAACACTCACCACGAACACATCCCCTGTATTTATGTCTTTGTCTACGACAAACCAGGCATCTCTTTGACCACCTATCCTGGCTCGTTGTCCCAAAGTGAATAGAAACCAACCTAAAAGTTAATATAAAGGCAGTAAATTGAAATGCACTTGGCTATCTTACTAAATCTTTGGTTTTACACAAAGCTTTTTAAGAAATATCTTTAGTTTCTAGTTCTTGATATATTCTGATTGTACTATCCATCTGGAGTCCACTACTGATGTAAACAGAGATTACAATTTCATTGCTTCACTGTGGAATAGAGTCTCAGCAATTTCACGGCCCATTATAAAAAATGTTGATCTGTACATGGCTGTAACTGCTATTATAATCTTGACAATGGTCATCTGACGGTTATAAAGCATTTGATCATTAGGCTCAGAAGCTAAATTGCCCCTTAACCTATTCATCAACATGCAAAGCAGATGACAGCTAAATTCACCAAAAGACCCATTCTCAAAGTTTAAATACCTTTCAGTTTTTCTTTCTCATTTTCATTTTGAAAGTTCATTTAAATCTTAGTAAAGGAAGGCCACATAAGAAAATATAGAGCTGCCAAATACCAAACAAACCAATGCCATGTGTAAAAAATTAATTTAATAAAAAGAATTACTTCCAGGATTCTTCAATTGGTTTTATCAGGCAAAGTGCAGAATAACTTTTTAAAAGTACAAAAATGGTTCACCCCTATAAATATGCTAAGGTAGTTCCATTTGATTGAACTTTTCCAGGTTAAACACTATGTTTATAAATATATCCTTTAATCAGCCACAGTTTTCATAATGTAATAAGCACTAGAACACGTCTCGTGGGAAATTTTGAGAAAGAAACTTGTAGTTTTAAGGAGCTAAATACTGAAATTAACGTTTCAGTGATTTTAAACAGTTTTATTTCATTACGTATCTACCTATGCCATTTATATTTTACATTTAATTTTGTCTGCACATATTTCATCATTGTAAGGAACACCATTTCGGAATAAGATCTGCACCTAGCTGCTTATCCCACTGTACCGTAACACCACAGGATCCTGTACTTTGTTTTTCAAATTAAAGTCGATGCTTTTCAGAACAGTAATCCTTTTTTTTCCACATTTCCAATGTTGCCATTTTAGCGAGCTGCTGTTACATGGCTCCTGTTAGTCTTTTCCCTCTGAGATAAGTAACATAAACCCTTCTACTGCTTTGGAATATCAGTACTTTTAAAAAGAAAATACAGGATTGGACTTTCTTGGTGTTGCACCTGGATTGCCTTGGTACAGCTAACGTGGGAAAATTGGGATGCAGCATCGCTGGCTAGGGCAACATTTATTGCCCATCGGGAAGTTAAGAGTCATCTGCTGTGGGTCTGGAGTCACATGTAGGTCAGACCAGGTAAGGATGGCAGATTTCCTTCCTTGAAGGACCTAAGTGAATCAGTTCGATTTTTGTTTCAACAAACAGCAGTAGTTACACGGCTGTCATTAGATCTTTAATCATTTTATTACATCATTTTGAAAATAATATTAAAATGAATTCGAATTTCAACATGTGCAATGATGCAATTCAAATGCATGTCCTCAGAACATTAGCCTGTGATTCTGGATTACTAGTTCAGTTACATTGTCTTTGCCTACCTCTCCATTATTGGGCACACACCTTCTCGAGAACAATTATGGGTTAGGAATAAATGTTGGCCTAGACAGCAGCACAATGTACAAATAAATAAGTTTTAAAAATAGCGCCCACATGTAGGCTCACCAGTTGCAGTTGTTGAGAAAAACAGGTGCTGCTGCCAAAAGGAGCAAAGAATAATCATTCCATAATGTCTTTATTTTCCAAGCCTTGTTTAGACCAAACTATGACGTGAAGGTGCCAGTATTGGACTAGGATGGACAAGGTCAGAAGTCACAAGAAAACAGGTTATACTCCAACACGTTTGTTTGAAATCACAAGCTTTCGGAGTACTCTTCCTTCGTCAGATAAAGTGCTGGGCTATAACCTGACATTGTGTGACTTCTTGTAAACCAAATTAACCATCAAGCTGCTTTAAAAAATGTGTAACAGAAGAAAATCTGAAATGGAAGACAACTAACTATACGAGTAAAATTCTAAATTTGAAGAATTCTATTTGAAGAAATAGAAAACGTTCAACTTAAAGATAAAAATCATTCTAATTTTCTTAAACAACATAACTACCTTTGTGTGTTCCCATAATTTTTCCATCTTCTATAGAAACGAAGTTTCCAGGGCGAGGTTCTAGATACTAAAAAAAAATTAAGAATGAAATTACTTTGTATGTCCAAAACTAAGATCAACATTTTTTTTCTGTACAAACATTCTGTCAAAATTCAACATTTTGTTTTCTAAAACTCTCCGTAAGGCAGCATTGGGTTTGAATCCAGCCCAAAGTATTTGAGTTAATTTCTCCTCTCTTTTTTCAGGTGCTAAATAAAATGAGTTTTGGTAGTCTGAACCTGATTTCTAGGTGGCACTAATTCACAGCTGTCTAAAATTCAGCACTACTTTAGGAACTTTACTTAAACCAGGGTGGCAGAAATGAGCAAGAGCAACGTCAGATTAATGCTGTAAAATATGCTCTTTACTGGTTTGAGAAAGGATGTTCCAGAGTGGAAATTAGTATTGAAGATACAGGAGAATGTAACATTTGTTACATTTTATATATGTCTACTTAGCTGAGGCCTCACATCTGTTCATTTCGAATGAATTATCATTAGAATGTCATACAGAAGCAGATAAGCATTTTAATCAGTGACACTGACAACATAAATTCCAAGCTATGGGAGAGGCTCGTAAAGCCCGATATCTTGATTCTTATCTGAACACAGACTGGAAAAGTAAAATGAATTCCACTACGCAACACAGATGTTCAATTTTTAAAATGTAATTGTGATTTGCACTTGCCTCAAGAATAAAGTTTTCAAAATTTCTTTCACCTATAAAACAGATTCCCATACTCTGCAAGAAGCAAAACATGAATATTATCCAAGGAAATATTTAATGACAATTATAAACAGATTTGATGATTTCAATTACTTTTGGATAAAGCATTGTTTAAGATTGAAGAAGAAAATAAAATTTAAAAAGTCTTACTTCTTTTCTTTTTAATATATGGTGAAATCCTGCCTCAGCTGCCATTTCCTTTACAATATTTTTCCTCAATTCACCAAGGGGAAAGATGGTATGTCGCAAAGCATGCTGCGATATCTGACTCAGAAAGAATGTTTGGTCTTTCTTTGGGTCAGCAGCCCGTAAGAGTTGCACAGCTGCAATAGCTAAGACAGAACGGCAATAATTTACATTGGTTAGGATTTAATTTTAAATTTTGTAGAATTTAAGATTGACGATACCAACACTTAATTTTAGTACCAACTCCCAGCTTCGGAAATGAATGTATTTATTTCATATCTTACGCAATAAAATATTGCTCTAACTTTAAGGAATACATGTCCTCCTTTTCCTCAAAAAAAATGATCTCTCTTGCCCTGGACACTTACCAACAAGGTTCCATTCTTACTAAAGCTCTGGAAGCTGTTGTCAGATCCCAAATGAGCCACTGCCTAGATAGCTCTTGCTCATATATAATTTAAAGAATAGTTTTCAGCTTAAATATTCCTCTTGCCATTTTTTTTTTGCCTATATTCTATTACTCGGAGCTCGACCACTTAACTTGTCATCAGACATCTCTTAAAATTTTGGACTGGTTCCGACACAAGATTCTTTCAAAAACAAGTTATAATTATATGGTCTTTGGTGAAAGTTATGGCTGGATTTTCTCATTTGCATTTAAATAGTGGTGACGAGTGGGTTATGGGGTCCACTTCACCATGGGTGAGTTTTCTCAAGCAATCTTCTGCTTTTTACCTCATTAGTCATGCAACTGGGATGCTGGGTGTATTTCTTGGGAATCGGTCATCGCCGAGGTGTTCTGACTTCCACACCTCCAGTGCCATATTTAAATCCCAGCTGCACTGTCTTCAGAGGCTGCAAGCCGGGAATGACACCTCACACTGTGCAGCTCAATGTTAATCTCCAAAGAGAGGGCCCCAATGAAAGGCAAGCTCACTTCCCACTTCATGAAGTGAGATCTGGGGATGTTGGTGGATGGGACGGTGGAGAGGAGTCCTGCCGTCTTCCTAGTGGACCACCATAAGAGGCTATGCCACCAGACACAGCCATGCTGGATCCAAAAAAGCAGCACGGCTCAGTGTAGTGTCCCCGTATGAACTGGAACACAAAGCCATGCTGCAAGATCAATGATCTTCTGCATTCACAGGGGTAAATGGCACCTCCTGTCTCTGCTATCTCACCCTCTCAGGGCTAACACATCCTCTAACTCTGCCATTGCTCACAGACCTCACTAAGGCTATAGAACTACAACTGTCAGTATTACATGCATCATGTTGAGTCAAGGGCTTTCACTCAACCCATTCTCTGAAACAGTTAATCCTGCCTGCCCTCTGCACTTTCTGTTCACTGACTGGGGACACTTTCCACATCACCACTAACTGCTCTACATCCAACTACATTATAATCAATCTTGGCTCTGTCTCTTTGCTGGACAAACTGGCCTACATCTTGGACAGCACCCCAAATGACCTATGTGAAATCCCCTGACTGCATGAACTCCTGGACAGCTTGACTTACTGGACTGACTGTGACCAGTCCCCCAAACTTGAATAGGGCGTTAAGTGACTGTGACTATAGTTATGCACACTTTCCCTTGCTTTTTAAACATCAATATTTGCTTGAAGTAAATTCAATGTGTTTTCCTCATAAACTGCTGGTTCATACTGCAGCTCAAAAGAAGGGTGCTGTATGGCGATGTCCAACCGCCACCCCACAACCCTGTCTCATACATTTATCGTTCAGTGCTCTCCATTGTCAGAAGCTGCCTGCCTCTGCACTAAAGTGGGTCCACTGATCCTCCTTCGGTTCATACTGTAACTCTTTTCAGAGATTACCCAGTTTTGTTATCCTTCATCATTGTCCTCTTCCAATCATATCGCATTTACCATTGTCTTGTTCGTGATTTCACTGTACATTGATCTACTTCCTTCGGTTGTTTTGTTTTGCAAACTACAAACTCCTTGTAATTCTATGTCAAAATTGCTACATCTTTATCTCTAAGTGTTTTGACAATACAATAAAAATATTCCTTTTTCAATTTTCCAAAAGCATGTTTGTTTTAACATTTCAATTCACATCACTTTATACTGTTTTATTTCTTATGGTGCGATTACACAACTCTGAAATATCAGTGCAAAGCAGTTTTATTTAGCACCAATTTAAACTGTAAATGGTATTTGAGTCATAAGTCAGCGCCAGAACGAAGTGTCATCTCATTCCACTCCACTCCAGATCAAGTCAGGCTTTGACTCTAGATTAAAATGTAAGAAGTTTAGCAGAGAGTGATTCACATCACAACTAAATTGACCCTAAATATATTTTCTGATCCTTTTTATTATAATTCCTATGGAAATATTATCCCAACCTGTCCACCATTTCATCCCAATTTAAATAGCAATTGCAGTTTAGTTGTAATCTTCTAATGACATGTCTTCCTCATCATTGTGGTGAGGGAGAGAATAGAGAAGTGAATAAGCTCCACCGACGGCATCTCTGCTAGGTGGCGATGTTCGTATGTTTAAGTTCTGGTAATAAAAGATCAGGGTCATTGGCCCTCTTTTGATTAATGTGAACAGACATCTCAATTAAAGGATATTGATTTGCTGATTATAAAGTAATATCTCCAGTAGTACATGTTCACCGTTTAATCGTTTAATCAACAAATTTGTAAAATCTGAATGGAAAACATTAGTAATTTGTTCTGACAGTCCGTAATTTAATTATTTGTATGTCCAGATCCCCAGGAGTAACACAATAGATTAGATGTAATTACAACGCGTCCTAATTAAATTCTTACTGAAGGAACGTTTCCTTTCATCGAACACTACATCAGGACAGAATAAGGAACATGTAGATTTAAAGTCCTCCGCTCACCATCCTTACTGTGGTTACGAAAACTATCTTCAGTTTTTCTGATATATTTTTGTTGGAAAACCTCTTCATCATGCTGTGATGTTCTCGCATAATGACCAGTTGCCATTGCATCTGCCCCTAGTTCAATAATAAAGATATTGCTAGTTATATAACTGATGCATATTTTGAATTTCTCTTTGGTTATACTTAGGAAAACACACTTTAACCATTAAATGAGATAAAGAAAACAAGTCTTTACAACAAGATACGTTTTTAGAAAAACACCATTGTCAATTTCATTCTATATTGCTCGTTTCCCCTCTTCTTTTCTCATCTTACCCTAAATGTTAATAATTCAATTCCCCTCCCACCCAGTCATTTTGCCTGTTGTGACTTGATCTTGGTTTCCACTGTGAAACACCACAGAAGACTGAATGATTGTTAATAACAGGAAAAAAAAAGTGAAGCAGCAGTTGTCAAGTCAAATGCTATTAATTATTCAATAGAATAATGAATAAGGCCATCCTTATTAATTAATGGTTATTAATGTCAGTTTACTGTTGAACATTTACAGCTAATTTTAAAGAAATAACACCACAATTGTGTATGCATATTTTAAAAGAAACAAAAAATCAATTAATGGTAGCTAAGATGAAAGATTACTGCCCCTGCTATTCCAAAGTACAGGGAAGTGCATAAAATTGAGTATTTTACTGGACATTTTCGGACTGAATTATAATTAATTCACGAGCGCATGAAATGCTTTAATGCTATATATAAATGTCATTCTTAAGCATCCAGTGAATGCATAAGCACTTACCCAGGATTTCCACAGCAAACTGCAATAAATATTTAAATTTAATATTTTTATTGCACATGATATCAGGGTTTGGAGTCCTTCCCATTTCATACTCCTTTACTAAGTTGCTAGAAAAGAAGAGAAAAGAAAATCAACATAGCTTAATTCATTCATGTTCAGGCAATGCACCTTCCTAACATGAAACTTTACACTGTAGCATCTTAAAATTTAATTACTTAGATTAATTAGAGCTTTGAGGCACATTCTGAAATGCATGACTACATTTGATTGTGTCATGCTACACAACAATAAAACTTCCCCAGCATCTCTTTTGTAACCTGAGAAGCAAGACATGATGAGGGTGGTGAGAAAGTAGGATCCCACAAGGATCAGCACAAGGGCCACGTTGTTCACAATTTATATTAATGACTTAGACTTTGAAATCAAAAATACAATTTCTATAGTTGTTGATTATATCAATTTTGTTTTGGGGGTGGGAACAGGGATTGGACAGCCAACCCAATGGTCAACACTGAGGGGAAGTGCAAAAGGTTGCAAGATATTAATGAATTTTAAGACTGGACATTTAATTAGCAAATGAAATTCAAGATGAATAATTGCAAAGTATAATGGTCTGGATTAAAAAAATAGTCAAGTCTCATATTACTTGGAAAACAAGATTCTAAACCATACAGAGGAGCAAAGGGATCTGGGAGCACAAACACACAAATCAATGACAGCATAAGATAAAGGAACAGAATTAGGCCATTCGGCCCATCGAGTCTGCTCTGCCATTCAATCATGACTGATGGGATTGGGAAACACATTCTCCTGCCGTCTCCCCATGACCCTTGATCCCTTCGAAAACACATTCACCACCCTCTGGCTGAAGAAATTCCTCATCTCAGTTCTAATGGGTCATCCCTTCTCTCTGAGGCAGTGTCCTCAGCTCCTCGTCTTCCTACTATCAAAGTATCATCTTCATGTGCATCCAGGCCTCTCAGTATTCTATACATTTCAGTCAGATTTCCCCCACCTCCATTCTTCTAAACTCCATTGAGTACAGACACAAAGTCCTTAACCACTTCTCATATGTCAAATCCTTCATCCCTGGAATCATTCTTGTAAACCTCCTCTGGACCCCCTCCAATGCCAGCACATCTTTGCCTAGATATAAGGCCCACACTGCTCACAATATTCCCAAAATAACTCCATAGAAGCCCATATCCTATCACCAAGTCACTCTTTATTTTCACGTGGAAAGTCCTTGACACTGATTCAGTTTCCTTAGAGCCAGCTCTCAGAGTGAACAAGATGTCTGATGTTCCTGTTTTTATCTGTCAGCAGGGCTCTCCGATTGGACAGCCCCAATCAAGGAACTCATATTCTATGATGCCCACCTGGCTGTCCTCATTACAATCACTACATCCCTTCCCCCATGAGTCAGAGGACATAAGCAGATTTCTTTTTTCATAGCTCTTCCTGTGGCGTTTTAGCACTGGGTCAGGTTCCTCCAACTCTGCCTCAGATATGGGCAGCATGCAATGCGCAGTAGCTCCCCTCTTGTGCCCACTGCATCTCAGAAGAAATTCATTGTCCTTTCAGGCCGCAAAGATATTGAGGTGACAACGTATGCCTGTGTCCATCTCAGATAACGAGATATCATCAATGCTTGACAGAGTTGGAAAACCCACGGGTTCTGGAACAGTCAGAAAGGCAGTCAGACATGTTTTGCACCTGCACCCTTTGCAAGTTTGCAGCTTTCACATGGTTCACGCATTTGTTCAAGACTGTCACTGGACCTGACCTCATGTCAATCATGCCTGTTACCCATACAGGGCTATTCCTGTGGTTCCTACAACAAACTTTGAGCCCTGGAGTAAACAGTCTCTCTCACTTAGAGGGGTCTTGTGTCCACCATTGACAATTAATATTTTTTGTGGCATTTATTAATCTGAAGCATTAGTTATAAGCAACGTTCTATAGTAGTGTTGTATCTCGCAATGCGCCTCTGAATAAAAGGTCTATGCACGCTGGCAGACATCATGCTTCCCCCTATAAGCTAATAATATCAGATCATTTTTATGCATTGTTGAGATTAGGTTTTAACTGGAACTTGTCCGAGACTCACTATGTAAAAGCACCATCGCCCAAGTCTAGTACATTATATGTTTGTTATCGTCACCAATGGCCTCACTGGCATCATCTTGCTTCTTTTTTGGCTTTCTTCAAACGTCTCTCAGTCGACATCTCAATGTTATCCATCCATCCAATTTTTCTTCTGTTTTTAGCTACAGTTTTTCTTTCAACTTTTGACAGGAGAAGACCGTCAGGTTTTATTTTCAATGCCTGCTCTTGGCCACCTTTCTCTCTTAATTGTACATGACAACTCTTTCAATTCCAGAACACCCACTTTGATCTAATGCATTCAATTTTCTTGCAGTGCATTCAGAAATACAGAAACTAGAAAATTACTCTTCAAAATAGTCATTACACACGTGTGTATTAAAAATAAAGACAGAGTTGAAAACTTGTACGTTACCTAAAGACTTCATGCCAATACTCTTTCACGTAAGAAATCTGGTGAAAAGGGATGTTGAGCATCTTACAGACTCTGAAGGCATCTTCACAGTCCTGATTACCAGTGCAAGCACCGTGTTCATCTAGCAAGTCCCAGTTCTTCATAAAGACACCAGTCACTTGGTAGCCTGGTGAAAACAAGTTGGATTCACTTTTTCAATCTTGTATCACTTGAGAAGTCATATGCCTTCCAAATAAAATACAACTACAAATACAATGAAGAGATTACTCCAGGAAAGCAATTCTTTTCTTCAACTGAAAATCTATAATAAAATAAGAGGATCAATAATTTCCAAATCCGCAGGATAAATATCAAGATTTGAGAAGCTGCTCTTATAGTACGAACAGCAGAGTTTTGTAAAATAAAGTGTGTGGTTTATAAATGACTTGTAACAAAAGCTTTGCACGCAGTTTAGAGAGATCATATCACTGATTTTCTCAGAACAAGGCAAAGGTCATCACCAAATCTGATATGTCCCATCGGTCCACAGTACATTACGTACAGAAACTTTCATGTGGAGGAGAAAAATGACCAGAATGTGGCCAGGTGATCATGTTTCCATTGCTGGAAGGCTCAGCTAGTCACTAAATTAGTTCATTAAATTACAGGGGTTGGGGGAAGTCACAGGGTTCATTCTTTTGGCTTGTGCAATAGTTTACAAGTTTGTGGAAGCCAGTTTTGTCCTTGATAAACTAAGAATTTAGGCAATGCACTCTATTGCACACAGAACCAAGGAGTGGTGTTTTAGGAAACATGACACCGGTTAGCAAGTTCTGGAATGGCTTATTGGCATAATGCCTAATCAGTAATGGAAACTAAACATGGTAGTTATAATACTTCATCTACAGGACATGGTTCAAATGCACAATACAGCACTGAACAAGATCAAAATGACTGTAAAGCATGAATAAATCTGCCCTTCCAACGTCAAAGGTTAGTGTCCAATGAATCATTACTCTTTGCCTGAATATAAATTGATTTTCCCAGCAGTTACATAAAACGTATTTATTGCACCAGCTCATTTTGTCAGTACTTAAATATATTGTCATAGTTTTTCACACAAAACATACAAATTGAAAACAACAGAGCGCTCTGGTGGTTAGCTGGAAAATAATTCCAGATGGGAGAAAAAGCTGAACTCGTTCATACACAGTTCAATAGTTTACCAGTTACAGACTGGAAATCACAGCCAATATTTGGTTTTCAGAGCTTTTTACATAGTCACAATGCCTTGCACATATTTTAGAGGCCATATAATCGATTTTCTCAGACCAAGGCAAAAGTCATAGCCAAGACAACAAGGTGCAGAGCTGGATGAACACAGCAGGCCAAGCAGCATCATAGGAGCAGAAAGGCTGACGTTTCGGGCCTAGACCCTTCATCAGAAAAGGGGGAGGGGAAGGGGGTTCTGAAATAAATAGGGAGAGAGGGGGAGGCGGATAGAAGATGGATAGAGGAGAGAGGATAGGTGGAGAGGAAAGAAACAGGTCGAAGAGGCGGGGATGGAGCCAGTAAAGGTGAGTGTAGGTGGGGAGTTAGGGAGGGGATAGGTCAGTCCAGGGAGGACAGACAGGTCAAGGGGGCGGGATGAGGTTAGTCGGTTGGAGATGGGGGTGCGGCTTGAGGTGGGAGGAGGGGATAGGTGGGAGGAAGAACAGGTTAGGGAGGGGGGACAAGCTGGACTGGTTTTGGGATGCGGTAGGGGGAGGGGAGATTTTGAAGCTTGTGAAATCCACATTGATACCATTGGGCTGCAGGGTTCCCAAGCGGAATATGAGTTGCTGTTCCTGCAACCTTCGGGTGGCATCGTTGTGGTACTGCAGGAGGCCCAGGATGGACATGTCGTCTGAGGAATGGGAGGGGGAGTTGAAATGGTTCGCGACTGGGAGGTGCAGTTGTTTATTGCGAACCGAGCGTAGGTGTTCTGCAAAGCGATCCCCAAGCCTCCGCTTGGTTTCCCCGATGTAGGGGAAGCCACACCAGGTACAGCGGATGCAGTATACCACATAGCCAAATCTGATTATGTCATGTTGATCCATAGTACATTGTGTACACATTGATTTTTACTTGGGGAAGAAAAATGACTACAGTAATCCACATTTTAGTGTTTTACTAGTTTCACAAACTGTTAATGACTCTCAAGCTAAATACATGAGGGGTAAAACAACTGGATTATGGCAGAGAATATTACTAACAAAAACAGAAGTTGCTGGAAATGCTCAGCAGGTCTGGCAGCATCTGTGAAGAAAAATCAGAGTTAACATTTTAGCTCTGGCGACCCTTTCTCAGAACACTTCACCCAGTTCCAACACTCTCCCTCCACCTGGACCCCTGTCCCTGGCCTTGATCTTTTCATTGAGAACCATCGACGTGACATTGGTCACCTCAATTTCCCAGCCAAGTTCTGAGGAAGGGTCACCGGACCTGAAATGTTAACTGATTTTTCTACACGGATGCTGTCAGACCTGCTGAGCTTATCCAGCAACTTCCATTTTTGTTCCTGATTTACAGCATTCACAGTTCTTTTGGTATTTATTTTATGGAGAATATTACTTTCTATTCAGTGCATCCTGTTAAATAATGCATTTCAAGAGACTGAACGAACTTTAAAAATAATTGCACATTCATGTCCGAGTCCTATAGAAATGTAGGCAAGAAGATGGAAAATGGAAGATAGAACTTTTCCTCCTTCCAAAGCAGTTCTCTTACAGTTACTTACCTACACACAGTTTCTAGATTGAGCTCAAAGCAAACTTTTGCAGGTTCAAGGCTGTATTCACAGAAATTTTAAAGTAAACTAATTGGCAGAAATAGCCAGGAGTTTTTTGATAGTCTTATAGGGCTACATGTACAGTTTAGTTTATAAAGGTGATTAAGATTATGCATCTTTGAAAAGAGCAGAGAGAAGGTTTGAAACCAACACAATTTGTAACACTGAGCAGGTATATTTAGGTGATAAAAGATCATCTGTTTATACCGTACAAAACATGACTGGAAATGCTATCAAGAACAAAGATATACAAATGCAAAATGTAAGATTCTCCATGTCAGCTTGTTTAAAAAGATATATAAGCAATGCACAACTTCACAAACATGCTTTAAACATTGTTTGTGGCATATTCTATTCAGTACTGGAATGAATTTGCTATTCATCAAGATAAATGAAAGAAAAAAATCAACATACAGCCAGCCTCAGCCATCGTGAAGTCAGATGTGCCAAGTAGTAAACTGCCTTCTACTGTTTCACAATGTTGAAACTTAATCTCGAAAGACTACAGTGATACTTCCATTTCTCACACTAATTATCCTTCTATTTTCTGTCAGTAATAATGATAATTTATTGTAAAATGATGTGCACTATTGTACCACATGCTTGTACTTACTGAAAATTGGATTAACAGTGTCACTCACCTGAGTTAAGAAAAACACAAAACAGACCAGATGCCATGGAACTGAACTGGACAAAACTAAGGTCAAGGATGAACAAAATACAATACCTAACCTGTTCAGGCAGACTTTCATTCTACAGAATTCAATGAGGGCCTTAAAACTGAATTAAATAAGTGTCACAGTATAGTTAGTTTAAATTGCCAGAGCCTTAGCATGGGAAACCTGCCATCTATATCTTAGTCTATTCTGTAAGTGACTTAATGACAAACCTGAAATGCTAACGTTATTTTTCTCTCCATATTTGTGTTCGACTTGCTGAGTGTCTCCAGCATTTTCGGTTTCCATTTCAGATGTGCAGTAGCTGCAGTATTTTGCTCGTTTAAAATCTAGCAAGACTGTACAATGATGTTCATAACACACTGAAGCCTTGAAAATTGTAAATAAAGCAGAGAAAATGAAACAGTAAAAGGCACACATTGCTCTAAATTTCTTTGTTCCTGCTTACAGACTCGGAGTCACACAGCACGGAAACAGACCCGTCAGTCCAACTCGCCAATGCCGACCAGACATCCCAATCTGACCTAGTCCCATTTACCTGCATTTGGCCCATATCCTTCTAAACCGTTCCTAGTCATATACCCATCCATGTGACTTTTAAATGTTGTAATTGTACCAGTCTCCACCATCATCTATGGCAGCTCATTCCACACACGGACCACCCTCTGCGTGAAAAAGTTACCCCTCGGGTTTTTTTAAAATCTTTCCCCTCTCACCTTAAATCTATGCCCTCTAGTTTTGGACTCCGCCATCCTTTAGAAAAAGAGCTTGGCCATTCACCAGATCTATGCCCCTCATGATTTTATAAACCTCTGTAAGGTCACCCTTCAGCCTCTGACGCTCCAGGAAAAGACGCTCCAGGAAAAAAAGCCCCTGCTTTAGGTATCTCACTGGCTTCCATCATCTATTGGCATTTTAGGCAAGTTGCTGTACTATCATAAGTTAGCAAGATGACGAGTCTTGACAGGATATTTAATGGCATAAAATCACCAGTGCTACAATGTCACATACCATCCATATATATAGACTTCTTCAACAGAAAACTGGAATGGGAATCATAACTGAATTTCCCCTTAACTCCTAGTGGCCCTTAGATCAACAAACATAGACAAGCCTAGATCACACTGGGACCTTCTTATGCTAAGCTACTAACTTAACAGACAACCAACCATCAGGGCAGACGGCTGCTGGAAATTTCACCGCTTCAAATTCACGTCTAGGTTTTGAAACGTTATTATGCTATTCTTGAGCTCCCTCTGGTGGTGCCCTAGCCGTGAAACAATCAAAGCAACCAGTTTAATCTGGACTCATTAATTTTCTAAATGCAGGACAGAAACAATCAGGCAGCCACAGTTCATTAAAAAAAAAATACAAAAAGAGATCAGTTGGTGCGGAACTAATGATGAGTGATGAAATTTCACCCTAAAGAACACAAAGCGCTCAATAGACGTTATAAATTACTTGTCAAGAATGTGCAGAATGGGACTGGTATCAAGCAGTGGAATTTGTAGAGTGGCTCTAACAGAGAACACCCCAAAACATTTCACAGCAGCAGTATCAGACAAAACCGGATACTGAGACACTTGAGAAAACATTAGTACAAAAGCAAAATATTGCAATACTGCTGGAAATCTGAAGTTTAAAAAAAAGCACAGCAAATGGTGGAAACATTCAACAGGC